ATTTATAAATAATTTCAAATCAAATCAAATATTTGATCTTTTAATTTGAATTTGATTTGATTTGAAAATTGATATTTAAATTTGATTTGAAATCAAATATTTAAATCAAATCAAATCAAATCAAATGTGGAACCTAATATTCTGTGAGGAATTTGAAGAATATAAACCAACTTCTTTTTGTAACAAATCTGAAAAATATGAACAAACTCTTTTCTATCATAAATCTAAAGATTTTGAATCAATCTCTCTTCCCTTGGATGAATCTGAAGCTAGTGAAGCATCTCTAATATGTGCTAGTAAAAGTAATATTGTATATACAAAGTAAGATTTATGATTTTGTAGAATTGAATTTTGGAACTATAATACATAAAATATTTGATATATATTATATACTGTATAATAATAATAATTATTTTTTTTATATATATTAAGGTAAGATCATACCCCTGGTTTTTATTAATATATATTACTATCACTTACAATTTCATATATATTAATTTACAACTATAGAGACTTAGACTAATTTATCTATGATCTAAACCTACTAGAATATTTTATATCCCACATATATCTCATCTAGCTTTACGCTTCTTAACTAACTATATCTAGTAATCACTATATTCTCTTCACATCTCAAATAACTAGTCATAACTTTCAAATTAGTATATCAAATACTCGCTTCTTATAAGCTCCCAAGTTGGTGTACCTGCAAACACGATCTACTGCAAGTCTTCTTTCTGATTCTATTAGCATAACTGTAATTAATGCAGATAGTCTTTCTATAGCCCATATTTCAAACCAGAACCTTGCTGTCTAGTTAGATTTACCATATGACTGAGTTGATATTACATTGTCAGATTATTCTATATTTATTTATAAATGAACTCTTCTACTTATTAGTCTAGGTATTACTAACCTGTATCTCAAACCAAGTTTCTGCTACTGCCACTAGTTTGTCAATTTCAGAACTTAACATTCTTTTTTTGATATAGTAGTACTAGCATAACCCATTTGTATTTCCTCATATAGTATATTACCAAAACCTTATTTTGTGAGGCCTCTCAAGTTGTATAGCAACTACAAGACTACATACTTCTAACTATAAGCCTTGTATTATATTACTAGAAGGTAGCACCCCAATTTATCTTGACTTCTAACTTGATCTTCTTATTGATTAGTATTGCATTATTGTTAGTGTATTTTGGCTTCTTTCATTATTGACTTTCATATAGGTATGACCAGAGCTCTAACTTGGTATCTTTAGACATACTAGATTAGCTAGCTTGCTTCTATAGAATTAACTTCTTTAATTAGTTGTTTTACGATACCAGAGGTATTTCTAATTTAGATAAACCAATTCTTTACTACAGCCCTTTCATATATTCACCGCTTCTCTTACTATTTCAGTTTTAGTAGTATTGTATTATCTTTTCAAGCAAGTACCTAACACCATTCTATATTGAGACTTATACACACAATCTATTAATCATCTTTCCAAGCAAGTACTCTATAAGTTGGCTACAAAGATATTGGTATTGCCAAATATAGAGATAATAGGATGTTGGTATTGCCTCTTTAGTCATCCCAACCAGAGGACTTACTTATGCAATCTTCTACAACCTAGATCTTCTGTGATGCTACTGTCATATATAGTGCTTGCACTCTATGATCGGGGCTCCTTTCAAAAATTCCTATTTCAGAACCATACTTGTACTTGAACTTTCTACAGAGCTTTGTGTCTAATTATGGCTCTATAAGGTTATAGTAACAAATTCAAAATCTGTCACCAGCTCAACTCGAACCGTTAACTTTGTCTATAAGGGTTTGAGAGCTTAACCAATAAGCTACGGGGCCCAAACCCTACTATATAATAATTATTTGATATATATTTATAGATCTTTTGTATAGAATTACTTTAAAAAAAAACAAACTATATAATATATGATCTTTGTAATAGAAAATTAGTATATTAAGATAGAACTACATCAAATCTTAAAAAATATCT